AATAGACATCTCTCATTTGATCATCCAATTTTATTTTATCTTTTGTGTTTCCATTCTCTTCAGTTCTGCATCGTTGGTGGGGTGCTGCTGATGGTGCTTGGGCTCATTGGAGGGCTAAGGCAGATCATCATGGAGGCCAAGGCATACAAATTCTACTCGTAGATCACTAGTTGATTGTTGCAAAGCTATTGTATAGACAAGTAGCAGAATTTGATGCAATGCATCAATGTTGGCGTAGACCTACTAGAGGTTTCATTTGTACGTACCTTCTCCTAGTGTTACCTCTTTGGAGCGACCTAAGTGTGGCAACCTGGCAACCACCCCTCCAAGGCACTCCTACCATTTCAAATAGACTGAAGTTCTAGGTTTGTTCAAAGTCAATTTTCTTCTTCTTCTTCTGATTTGACCGAGTATGTACAGAGATATGATAATATCTAAGTTGTTGTGAATACGAATATAATATAGTGATACCTGATGCCCACACTATTTGTATGTATGATGTGGATTACTTTATGCCTGGCTGAGTATCAGTGGAAAATAAGCTCATTTACAATTGAAATGGTAATAGAACCATTGAAACAATCGTTTGTTACAACTAATAGAACGTGGTTTTGTCACCTGCTTTTTGGTTTGTAGGAATATGGTCTGATCGGGTGATGTTTGTTTCTTGGGAGGCTCGTAGTGGATAGGTAGATGATTTGATTGACCTATATGTTTGTGGTGTTTGCTGAATCTTGTTTGTTTAATCGGTTTTATGAAATAAAATTTGTGAGCGGCGCACTCTTTAATTCAAAAATAAAACCACTGAAATAATAATGTTTTTACACACACCTAATACATCTTCCTGAGATGATGAACAGAAGCAGGATATCATCCACATTGCCATCAGGTTTGTTGTGGTTTCAGTGGATCTGATAAAGGTGTACTCTCCAACTAGCAACCAGTCGTCGGTATCAGAGATGTCAAGGGCATATAATCGGTAAGTGAATAATTGGCGATCTTTCACCACGGCAGGGCACTCTTGGATACGAACGAAATACCGAGAGCAAAAAGTTCCAATAAAAAATCATTGTTGCGCGAAGAATAGAACTATTCCAAATCATCAGTAAGGCACCAGACGGGCTTCGAGAGGGAATATAAGCGGATTTATTAAGCCTATGAGGACAAAAAGGATCGAAAAAGGTTCTGAACTTCTGATCACAAGTGCATATGTTCAGTCTCCTGCAAACAAACGACATTACAACCACATGAATTAATCACATTTTTAACTGCTAAAGTTCTGTGATATGAATTTATTCCCCTGATGTTCCAAACCATAATATTCCACAGCTACAAGTGAGATCCCATGGATATCCTATTCAACACGCTTAGCGCTAAATAGTTCAGGAAACAGAGGTGCGCTTAACGCTAACAGAGAACTCTTTAATTCCAAAAGAAAAACCACTGGATAATAATGCTTTTACACACACCTAATATCTCACCGGGAGATGATGAACAGAAGCAACATTAGACAAATCAAACTCCATCAATATGTCTATGTATCTAAATGATAATTCAAAATGTGATTTGCAGAACATAATGTCCGTAAGTGTGCAGGGCGCATTGCCCCGCCACCCTACCGGTACTTTACAATGTTTTATTTATTTAATAATTGTTTATGGTTGAGTACATGTGTTTTGTAATCATCATTTGTATCATATAAATCATATATACATGGTGTATTGAGAATTTACGGCATCTCCGGGCATGCTTGCGTTCTCGGTCGTGGCTGCAACGCTGGGCATGCCGACAGCGCTGGGCATGCTGGTAGCAGCGCCAGGCAAGGGGGGCATGCATGCATGACTCCGCACACAAGCTGAGGCTACTGAGCGAGAGCGAGGACGACGGACCTGGCGGTGGTGAGGGCGAGAGTAGTGGGGGGAGCCAGCATAGAAATGTTGGGTTCAAGTGAACCCAACGGATTTTCTTGCCACCAACATATAGGTTTGTATTTTCTTGACTTGAACCCAATAAAAAGTCTAGAATAACCTCATCAAATAATGTGACGTGGACAGCTAAAGAAAAGGTCTAAAAGCCCAAATCAAACGACTCTACGCACATGCCTAAACTGTGACTTGATTACTTTGTTGTACAGGCATGGAAGTTGCACGCCTCGTCCCTTGTCTGTTGGTTTTTTCAACTCGCATCTCTCATATGTTCAACCTACCCTAGTAGCCTAGCGTGATAATGAACCATTTTGCCCTTGTTTTCTAGTTTTTTTTTCTCAATGGATTTTGATTGATCTAGGCTATGAAAGGTATGATTCAAATAGAAAGCAGTCACCAGATTCTAATAATGATGGGGTCACTTCAAGGTCACCCAGTAGATCATAGGCAAAGTGCATCAAATGTCACCACAACTTTTTTTGTGTGGAAAAATGTTACAGTAGCTAGTCTCCCGAAGCCTTCTATTAAGAGAGAAATTAATCTTGATGAGTTACCATCGGAAGAGAATTTCAGCGTACACAAGAAATGCTAAGAAGTTGTGCGATAAGCCCTTCCTCATCCTTCGACTGAAGTTGTCAGAGCCGGACCGGCGGTGTTGCCGGAGGAGCACTGTACACGGAAATCGGATCCACGCCGCTATTATAGACATGGGGGAGGAGCAAGGACAAGGAGGGGAAGTGGAGGCAGCCTGGTCGTTCACGCTTCCAAAATAAATTGGATTTGCTTCTGAAGCACTGAAAGGCAGATGGAACGGCAATGCGACGAATTGTACCAGCTAATTGTGACGAGGTAACCAGACAAGGTTGCGTTCTATGATCAGAGATTTATCCCACTCAGTACGAAACCTAACGATTCGTTGAGACAACAGTGGCGTGACATCATGCTGAAATGGCCATGTGCATCATTACGACACACGCGACCAATGTGAGCTACTGCCTCCGTCCCATAATATAAGAATGGAGTACCATAAATCTGCGTACGATTGGATAACGTGATCTTTTCAAATTCCAAGCCAATATCAACACTTCCTTTTGACTTGTTTATTTATCAAAACGTAGTGGAGCCACTCGTTGCTCAGTGACACGTTGTGCCACCGCAAACGGCTTCATCCTTCCCGAAAATGATGGTCCGATAGACTGTTGTACTCCGTCCGGTCTTTTTTACTTTGCATATTAGATTTGTGCCATGTCAAACTTTATAAAATTTGACAAAATTTATATTAAAAAATATCAACATCTACAATACCAAATATATATACTATGAAATTACATTTCATAATGAATTTAACAATATTGATTTGATGTTGTGAATGTTGGTATTTTTTCTATGAGTTTTATTAAAGTAGAGATAGTTTAACTTTGGACAAAACTTATATGCGAATTAAAAAGGAGGAGAGGGAGTAGATGTTCCTTAGGGCGTAGTAGTTGTGTTGGTCGAGTGGAAGGATTGCGGTCTCGATTTCTTTACACGGTCTCTGACAAATGGAGCCCACCCTTGCGTGTCTCACTTTTTTTTCCCTTTCGTTTTTCCTCGGTGACCGGCTGAGGACCACACGACACGGCTCGCGACGGCTGGCGGGCGGCGGTTGAGGCGGGCTCCGGCCGGAGGCGCGGTGGGCTGGGCGGCGGAGAGGTAGCGGCTCGCCGGAGGACACAGACGGTGCTCCTTGCCGTGGCGGCGCCCCCATATGCGTCGACCTCGGCGGGCGCCGGGGCTGAGGGCGAGTGGAAGACGGCCGGCCGGGCGCAAACCTCGACCGCAAGCCAGCCCTGCTTCTTTCACGGCGGCGGGCTGCCGGCCAGCCGATTTGTGCGTCCTCTGGAGAAGACCGCGACCACTGATGCAATCAAAGAGATGAGGAATCGGCCCTTCAGTGTCTAGGCTGTTGCTGACACAGATGAGAGAATTGCATGCTTTTCTCCTGCTAAAACAAGATTTAGATGCTTTTCAGTTTCAGTTTAGCTTCAGTTTCTTAACTGGAGATGGATGTGGTGTGCGGTTCCTATTTGGAGCAGCTTAACTGTTCTAGTGTGTCAACTTGCATATAGTACCTTTCGAATATCTGAATACCTTGCATGACTGGCTTCAGTTACCACTTGACACATACAGTGTATATAACCACAGCTCAAGATGGGAATGGGCCGACCCCGCCCTGGTCTTGGACCCGGCCCTGTGGCCCCAAGGTCAATATGCGAGGCCATGGGTCGGCCCATTTCATCAGATATTTGTGGCCTCGCTGACCTGTTGGGTAGATGAGGCCGACCCAAAATTCAGCAGAATCAACACTGAAAATGATATATGTCTTTGATACAGCCGAAACGCATGATTATTATTCTGTTAGCCTGATATTAATCAAGTGAGGAATGCCGGCCGTCATTCTGGTCGTGCTGGTCTGGTCTGTGCCCCTTGTTGTTTGTTGCTGTCCGCTGTGAAGCCCATCCACAGCTTTGCTTGGAATTTCAGCGATTAATTCGAATTGGGGAATATTGCTTGGATGAAGCAGTTATAGAACCATAGTTCTGGAGCGAGATATATACCCGTATTAATGATGTAGGTATTTTGAACCGCACAATGCAAATACTACTTTGTACATTTCGCCCATCAATAGGATGTCTGCTACCACTCACCCTAATACTGCAGTGCTGGTACTTATCCTTGTACGCACAAGAGCAACAACGCTTGATTTTTATTGAAGGGAAGAGATGTTCCTGGGTGAACAAATGCTAACAATAGCACATGACACGACACGACACAGCACATAACTGGAATTCGAGAGTGACCTGGAACAAAATAAATACACACCAGTTCAATCACTGCAGTACACATAATAACTTATACTGTACAACTGACAAAATAAATCAAATATGTAGGAGTGGAACTGGATGTCAATAATCCGAGAAGAACCAAAATCGTTTCCTTGGGCTGCATTTCTGCCCCAGAACAGGAGCATTGAGGCGATGCGGTCAGGTCAGTCAAGGAGCAAATGTGGATCACCTCCTGAACATAAGCATTGATTCAGTTTGTTACGAAGATAGGATTGTTCGCGTTTGCTGCAATTGCTTCTTCTACGCTTTGCAAGTCAAATATGCTTGTAACTTGAGCTCTTGATCCGGTGATCTTCCATGTCGGGCAGAAGTCTGCTGCCGAAGAAAATGAGCATGTCCAAGGAGTCGGTGTAGTGGAGCAACTTGTTGCTAAATGTCACATTGTGGCTGACCGTGGGGCACTTGCCGCCGCTAAGGGCTTCAGCGTCCCCAAGAATGATGGTCCTGCTGTTGTATAAGATGTTCCTGACGGTGTACTTGTCTCGACCGAGTGGAAGATTGTAATCTCGGTATCCTCCTCGCCTTGGCAGAAGATCTTCAAATCGGTGGAGCCGCACGAGTAGCGGGATATGTCATCTGGGGTTGTTTCAGTTGCGTTTGACAGATAGAATTGATATCTGATGTCAACGCCGTCACACCTGTATGACTTGACTGTTGTCCTTGTGACACTTGGCCGGGTTTTGCAGAAAGTTTGGTTGTTGGTCGACGGGGCACAGTCCCTATACACAGCCTGCAAGACTCCGTATCAGGGTGGGGTGGGATTGGGCGAGGAGAATCAGACTGGTGTTGGCACGCAGACACAAGCACGGCCAAGGCTGCTACTTTTTTCAAAGGATTTCTCCCTGATTTCATTAACGAAATCAATAAAGGTTTAATACATAATAGTCATTGGCTGAAAGCAAAATACAAAGATACAAGCTCAGCAGAGCCATGACACTTCAACTCAGCAAGCTCGCAGACCAGCATTCCAGCAACAGAAACTCTGCATCAAAGCTGCTGAAGAGATTCAAACACCACCATAGACCTGGAGGCTGCCCCTGAAGACAGTTGAGCCAGAACAGGTCAAGTTGCCACAGGTGGTGTTGCTGAAGCCTGAAGATAGAAGGGTAGCCGTCGACCATGGCGAAGAGGATCAGGACGGGGAGGAGGGGAAACAGGGGAGGCGTCGTGTGGATGACCAAGAGCAGACTGGTGGGTAGAGTGTGAGATTGTGCACGAGAGCTACCATAATCATGCCATGGGGCTGAGAGCAACGGGTGCTAGCTTATGGAAAATTTGGTGGCACATGACAGCGACTCTGACATGGCAGCCAGCTGCTCCATCCAACGCCACTTCCTTGTTTTCCATTTGTAATTATTTGCTTAAAATTGTTCGGACTGGGGAAATATTGCTTGGATGAAGCCAGGTATAGAACCATAATTGGTGAGGTACGTAACCATACTAACGATGTAGGCATTTTTAACTGAACAATACTTTTCGGCCGTCAATACAGTGTCTGCTATCAGCCTATCACTCATCCCAATAATACAGTAATGCATATACTTATCCTTGTACGCACGAGAGCAACAACTCTTGATTTTTATTGAACGAAATACATGTTCCTGGGTGAACAAATGCTAACAATAGCACACAACACGACACAATTAATACGGCAGATAACTGGAATACGAGAGTGACCTGAACAAATACACACCAGTTCAAATCACTGCAGTGCACATAATAACACATACAACAGACAAAGTAAATCAGATATGCAGGAGTGTTGTTGCAATAAATAAATAAACAAATGTGTAGGAAGGGAACTGGATGGCAATAATCCGCGAAGAATGAAATTCTTTTCCTTGAGATACATTTCTGCCTCAGAATAGGATCAACGTTGAGGCGTCCGGTGAGGTCAGTCAAGGAGCAAATGTAGATCACCACCTCCTGAACCCGTATGGTGCCCAGGTAGGCTTGTTCTGGTTTGCTGAAAGTGCTTGTTTCACAATTTTCCAGTCATGGTTGCCTGTCAGCTCGACTTTTTTGAGCCTTGGAAGGCGCTCAATCCCCAAAAGAGATTGTTCACCTGTAGAATACCAGGCTAACCTCTTCAGCTTTAGACAGGCCTCATTGTCAAAGTTGATACTGGTAATGGCTGAGCACTTAATGTGAAGGAACTCGAGACTCTGAAATGCATCTTTTTTGAAGGTGACTGTACATCCAGTGCAAGAATCCTGTTTGAGCTTAAACAAGGACAAGCTTGTGAGCCGGCCAAGGATTTCGAAGTCATGTTCTGTTATGAAAGTCATATGCAGGGTCACTTTGGTAAGTACCTTGAGCTTTTCAATCCATGAAGGCAATCCATTTTTCAGGCCACTGATTTTTAGCTTGTGAAGATACTTTGGATATATCGGGTATGCATCTCTCTTGTTCACATTCTCATTTTCTTCTTCACTTTCTGCGACTTGGATTGTCAGTGAGCGAAGAAATCCAAGATTTCCAGTTGCATGGTACAAATGCCTCAAGACTGATGATGTTTTATTTCCAGAAACAACCACACCCAACTTAACCAACTGGAGTAGGTAGCCAACATATTTTAGTTCACTGCCGTCGCCAGAAACTGCAATATGAGATATCACCTGCAATTCTGTCATGTCCCCGATATGTTTGGGCATTGCCACGGTGGAAAACTTCTCCTTTGATTGGACGTTGCCATTTACAACAAGCTCTTCATCAGTCCAGTGGCCAGCAAGTAGATGCTTTAGCTTTGGCAGAAAAACTGAATTTTTGGCGAATGCCTTTACTTTTGTTTCACGAATGTCCAAGAACTCTAAGGACTGAAGCTTGTCGAGCTGCTTGGGTAGTTCAGTAATGCCAGTTTTCCGAAGGCTCAAATACTTTAGGTGGAATACATGGTTGCAAATGTTTTTCAGATGGCGGTCCTTCAAGTCATTGCAGTCTTCTAGATCAAGCACTTTCAGAGTCCCCGAGTGACTTGACGAAGGAAGTGACTCCAAAAACTCTTTAGTGGCATTGGACTGTTCAACTGTTGCTTGGTGGCCACAAATATTCCAACATGCCTGTGAACGAGTTACATTTAGTTCCTTCTCAGCTTGGTGCGGTTGGCCTTCATAGTGAACCGAAAGGCGATGAGCCAAGTCAGGGTGATGGGTGTTCTTTACAAAGTGATCTTCTCTTGCAATCTGTGTAACAATATCGAGGATGATGTCATCCATTGTATAGCTCTTCACCTTTGCTGTATCAGACGTGTTCCTTGGTGTAAGAAACCCATGGGAGACAAGCAGATCAAAACAGTGGTCAGCTTCATGCAGTGCACTTAGTCTACCTCTTTTAGCAGTCATGCCTTCAACGGCCCATCTTCTTACCAATCTTGTCCGTTCAAAGATTGTATCTTCAGGGAAAATAGACATATATAGCAAACAGTTCTTGCAGTTGCTAGTCAGATTACAGAACTTTAGTACTTGCCTTGCATTGTTCGATGATGCTGTGGTGGAGCTGTCCAGGTTGTCACACAGATTCTGTAGCTCGGCCTTGGTCTTGTTAGGATTGACATACAGAGCACGTAGAAACAACCTGACTGGCAAGGGTTTTGAGACAATTTCTCGTAAAATGGGCTGCAGCTCACTTTGATTGTTGATGTTCATTAGGCGCATTGCCATGCCTAAGTACCAATGACTACCAGTGTCCAAATCTTGGATTTCGGTGGGAGAAAATGACTGGGCCACATCAATTGAACGTGTGGTGATCACTATGGCACTACCAGGAGTGCAGTTCTCATGGGGGAAAGCAGATTTGATGCGGTTCCACAGAGATCTATCCCGGACATCATCAATCACAAGCAAGAACCTTTTACCTTTCAGGTGCTGTTGAAGCTGTGCGATAAGCTTTTTTATCCCCTTGGGCTGAAGTTGTGTGATAAGCTCTTCCTTCTCCTTCGGCTGAAGCTGTGTGATAAGCTCTTCCTCCTCATTCGGCTGAAGCTGTGCGATAAGCTTTTCCTTCTCCTTAGGCTGAGGCTCTCCGATAAGCTGTTCCTTCTCCTTTGGCTGAGGCTGTCCGATAACCTCTTCCTCCTTATTCAGCTGAGGCAGTCTGATAAGCTCTTCCTCCTTATTCGGCTGAAGCTGTGCAGCTTCCGAGTCGAACTGATCTGATGGAATGCCTAGTGCTGCCAAGACCTTCCTGAGAAACGTGGCCGCTTCAGTTGATTCCTCCCTTAGGCAGATCCAGGCCTTGCAGTCAGTGCCAAAAGAATCTTGGTAAACCTTTTCAGCCCCATAAGATTTGCCTATGCCACCCCTTCCTACAACTGCAATGACTCTAAGGTTGTGTTGCCCGCCATTATCCGTCAATAACTTCACCAAGTCCATATTACGGTACCTCGGATTAAAGGAAATATCAGTGCAGAGGCGCCGTTGAGCATCTTCCAGCTCGTTGGTGTCATCATTTCCGGCAGCTTGCCACCCTGCCTTCCTAATGTTTGCACGATCACAGTTGCTGTTATCGGGCACTTTGACGTCGTACCTCATGCGCCTCTCCCCTACCTCGCAGGCCCGGATCTTGAGCTCCCGGATCTGATTGGCGATGCGGTGACGCGTCGGCAGGGTCCACACCAGCTTGGGCAGCCGGCTCAGGTAGCCTAGGAGGCCTGGCTGCCTGCGGCCAGCGCCGATGCTCTGGATGTACAGGTCGATGCTGTTTTGGGAGGCGTACGCGACCTCCGCGACTTGCTTCATCCACGCTCCGACCTGGTGGTTCTCCTCGTCGGCCTCCGCAACGTGCAGGAGGAAGCCGTTCATGCTCTCCATCTCGTCCTTGATGAACTGCACGTCGCCGCGGACGCCGCCGAGCAGCTGCGCCTCGTCGACGAGGGCCGATGTGAGGCGCCCCAGCAGAGAGTCAACGGCGCCCTGGGCGGAGCCCAGGATCATGTCCGCCATCCCTCTGGCCGGTCTCTCAGTTGGACACGGTGAGGATATGCAAAGCCTGCCGGCCGGCAAGGAGCTAACCAGCTAGGAGCAGGCCTTTCAATGGAGGATGTCTGGATCTGGATCCAATCTGGTCAATGGATGGTGGTTGGAAATGGAACTCGGGGGAGATAGTCGGAGCATGAGTTGTGCTTGGTGGAACGGGAAGGAATCAGGCCAGCTCACTCCGTGATGCTTTGGAGCCCAGGATCATGTCCCTCTGGCCGGTGTCTCAGTTGGACACGATGAGGATAATGTAAGCTAGCTGGCCGGACGGCAAGGAGCTACCCAGCTACGAGCAGGCCTGCCAATTGGGGATGGTGGATCTGTGGAAGTGGAGCTAGAAGGAGGTAGTCAGAGCATGAGATTTGCTTCGTGCAACGGGAAGGAATCAGGCCAGCTCCGTTGACTATTAGTGCCCAGAAAATGGTTTCTCGAGATTTGCGCCGTTTAGATTTTCAAGTCTTTCTACCATATTTTATTTATTGTCCTTTCTGTCGACCAGCTACATGGGCCAGGGACCGAAGGTCAAGAGGAGAAACAGACAAAAGACGCACAAGTGGAGTAGCCCATAGTTGAAGGAAGAGGAAGAGGCCTCTCAGCCCATCTCAGGGCCAGCTGCTCCCGCAACGTCTACAGATTGTACGCGGGCCTTGTGCCTCTGTTGTGCGGGTCCGCGTGTGGCGTCAGCTTGTTTTGTTTGCCTGTGGTGTGGGACCAGAGCTTATCAGACCGTTCACCCCATCTCACTCCAAGGGATAGAGAAAAGCATCGTGTGCCATGTGCATGTGATGTGGTCCCAGAGCGACGTACTCCCCATTTTCGGCATGGGAAAGAAAAAAACAACGACATACAAATACCCCCCAGTCAAACTTCGTAAATTTTGATCAAATTTATATTAAAAAAACATCAACATGTACAATATATAAAGCAATATAATATGGAAATAAATTCCAAGATGCATCTAATAGTATTAATTGTTGGGGAACGTAGCAGAAATTCAAAATTTTCCTACGAGTCACTAAGATCTATCTATGGAGAAACCAGCAACGAGGGGAAGGAGAGTGCATCTACATACCCTTGTAGATCGCTAAGCGGAAGCGTTCAAGAGAACGGGGTTGAAGGAGTCGTACTCGTCGTGATCCAAATCACCGGAGATCCTAGTGCCGAACGGACGGCACCTCCGCGTTCAACACACGTACAGCCCAGTGACGTCTCTCATGCCTTGATCCAGCAAGGAGAGAGGGAGAGGTTGAGGAAGACTCCATCCAGCAACAGCACAACGGCGTGATGGTGATGGAGGAGCGTGGCAATCCTGCAGGGCTTCGCCAAGCACCTGCGGGAGAGGAGGAGGTGTCACGAGAGGGAGGGAGGCGCCAGGGACTCAGGTGCGGCTGCCCTCCCTCCTCTCCATTATATATAGGGGCAAGGGAGAGGAGGAGGGCGCAGCCTTGCCCCTTCCTCCAAGGAAGGGGTGCGGCCAAGGGGGGGAGGAGTCTATCCTCCCCAAGGCACCTCGGAGGTGCCTTCCCCTTTTAGGACTCTCCCCTCCCCAAGTCTCCTTGGCGCATGGGCCTCTTGGGGCTGGTGCCCTTGGCCCATATAGGCCAAGGCGCACCCCCTACAGCCCATGTGCCCCCCCGGGGCAGGTGGACCCCCCCCCCCCCGGTGGACCCCTGGACCCTTTTCGGCACTCCCGGTACAATACCGATAAAGTGCGAAACTTTTCCGGCGACCAAAATAAGACTTCCCATATATAAATCTTTACCTCCGGACCATTCTGGAACTCCTCGTGACGTCCGGATCTCATCCGGGACTCCTAACAACATTCGGTAACCACATACAAACTTCCTTTATAACCCTAGCGTCATCGAACCTTAAGTGTGTAGACCCTACGGGTTCGGGAATCATGCAGACATGACCGAGACAACTCTCCGGCCAATAACCAACAGCGGGATCTGGATACCCATGTTGGCTCCCACATGTTTCACGATGATCTCATCGGATGAACCACGATGTCAAGGACTCAATCAATCTCGTATACAATTCCCTTTGTCTAGCGGTATTGTACTTGCCCGAGATTCGATCGTCGGTATACCGATACCTTGTTCAATCTCGTTACCGGCAAGTCTCTTTACTCGTTCCGTAACACATCATCCCGTGATCAACCCCTTGGTCACATTGTGCACATTATGATGATGTCCTACCGAGTGGGCCCAGAGATACCTCTCCGTTTACACGGAGTGACAAATCCCAGTCTCGATTCGTGCCAACCCAACAGACACTTTCGGAGATACCTGTAGTGCACCTTTATAGCCACCCAGTTACGTTGTGACGTTTGGTACACCCAAAGCATTCCTACGGTATCCGGGAGTTGCACAATCTCATGGTCTAAGGAAAAAATACTTGACATTAGAAAAGCTTTAGCATACGAACTACGATCTTTGTGCTAGGCTTAGGATTGGGTCTTGTCCATCACATCATTCTCCTAATGATGTGATCCCGTTATCAATGACATCCAATGTCCATGGTCAGGAAACCGTAACCATCTATTGATCAACGAGCTAGTCAACTAGAGGCTTACTAGGGACATGGTGTTGTCTATGTACCCACACATGTATCAGAGTTTTCTATCAATACAATTATAGCATGGATAATAAACGATTATCATGAACAAGGAAATATAATAATAATAACTAATTTATTATTGCCTCTAGGGCATATTTCCAACAGTCTCCCACTTGCACTAGAGTCAATAATCTAGTTCACATCGCCATGTGATTAACACTGACAGGTCACATCGCCATGTGACTAACATCCAAAGAGTTTACTAGTGTCATTAAACTAGTTCACATCATCATGTGATTAAGACTCAATGAGTTCTGGGGTTTGATCATGTTTTGCTTCTGAGAGAAGTTTTAGTCAACGCGTCTGCAACATTCAGATCCGTATGTACTTCGCAATTCTCTATGTCATATTGTAAATGCTGCTTCCACGCTCCACTTGAAGCTATTCCAAATGGTTGTTCCACTATATGTATCCAGTTTTCTACTCAGAGTCATTCGGATAGGTGTTAAAGCTTGCATCGACGTAACTCTTTACGTCGAACTCTTTATCACCTCCATAATCGAGAAACATATCCTTATTCCTCTAAGGATAATTTTGACCGCTATCTGGTGATCCAGTCCTTGATCACCTTTGTACCCTCTTGCCAGATATATAGCAAGGCACACATCAGGTGCGGTACACAGCATAGCATACTGTAGAGCCTACATCTTAAGCATAGGGGACGACCTTCGTCCTTTCTCTCTCTTCTGCCGTGGTCGAGCTTTAACTCTTAACTTCATACCTTACAACTCAGGCAAGAACTCCTTCTTTGACTGATCCATCTTGAACACCTTCAAGATCATGTCAAGGTATGTGCTCATTTGAAAGTACCATTCAGCGTTTTTGATCTATCCTCATAGATCTTGATGCTCAATGTTCAAGTAGCTTAATCCAGGTTTTTCATTGAAAAACACTTTTCGAATAACCCTATATGCTTTCCAGAAATTCTACATCATTTCTGATCAACAATATGTCAACAACATATACTCATCAGAAATTCTATAGTGCTCCCACTCACTTCTTTGGAAATACAAGTTTCTCATAAACTTTGTATAAATCCAAAATCTTTGATCATCTCATCAAAG